CATCACCCTGGTTGAGAACCACTCACTGGGAAACAAATCCTTAAAGGGAGAGGATTTGGAAGTCCTGTGAAATAGGCAGGTGTGAGAAAGTTAAAACCCATGTCCTCTGAGGATCTGTAAAAATGGGAGCACTCCCAACTAGATCTCCAGATATAAGACTCCTTCAGCAATGATGGCCAGGGCCAGACTGAGGGGTGGGCAAGCCGGGTAGCTGCCTGGGGCGCCAACTGATGGGGGGGCTCCTGATGGCAGCTGTAAGGGGCGCGCAGCATCCCTTATAGCTGCCATCAGGTGCCGCGTGCCCGGCTCCTGCAGTGCTGGCCCCGCGGCGCCAGCCAGTAGCGCCATTCCCCCCACGGCCGCGGGGCCCTGCACGGCCTGGCGCACGCGCCAGCAGTGATTGCCAGGCCAGGCTGGGTAGCTCATGTGCCATGCACCCCGGGGGCGGGCCCCAGGCTGTGCGCCAGCGGCCGTGGCCAACCCATGCATGTGCCATGCGCCCCCGGGGAAGGCCCGCACATGCTCCGTGTGCTTGGGGGTGGCGCTGCACACCCGGGCCCGGGGCACCAAAATGGCTCAGGCTGGCCCTGATGATGACAATACCTCTATGTGACTCTTCTGGCCCACATTCTTGCATCCTGAATCCCCTCTCAGGAGTTCTACTGCTTCTGCCTTTGCCTCAGCAAGAGACATCTCCTCAGACATCATACTGGCTATATGGGGGATGATGGGAAAAGAAGCTAAAAAGCTAGCAGAGTCCCTGTTTCCCCTCCTCCCCCCTTTTCCTTCCCTCAAAACATTGTGGAGCTCCAGCTGAGAGTCTGTCATGACACGTAAAGAGCAGGACTGGTGCTGTAGAAAATGCATGACCCTTTTCTCTACGGGTATGTCTACACTACAGCGCTATTTCGAATTAACTTAATTCAAAATAGTTAATTCAAATTAAGCTAATTCGAATTAACGCATCTATACATAAAAACTATTTCGAAATAGCGTTTTGCTATTTTGAAATAGCATGTCCACACTGAGTGGACCCTGAACCGGAGTTAAGGCTGGCTGGAACCAGTGCATCAGGTTAGGACTTAGTGTGTGGGGCTGCTGCCTGAGACTAACTGAGCTCCGTGCTTAAAGGGACCCTACCCCCACCCCAGACAGACAGTTCTCAGGAATCCCTGCTTGCTTGTCTATCTCGATGAGGGACAGCAAAGCAGTCCTGTCTTGGAGTGCCCTGAGTGCCCAAACTCGGGACACCACAGCACTCGGCCACATGGAGCCAGAGCTGCCTCATGGCACACCAGTGCATCTCGTGGGGTCGTTGCCATCAACCCGGCTGCACTGACTGCAGGCTGCCATCTGGGGGGGTCCATTGGGGGGCTGTCAAGATCCAGAAGGCCTTGCAGGAGAGCTCCCACCCCTCAGAGCCCGCAGAGCCACCCTAGTCCTCCTCACTGGGGGAGATCATGGACGTTGGGGGCATCCCCCCGAAACCTGAATAAGGTTCATGATCTCCACCCTGGACCAGGAAGGGACCTGCCTTCTCCAGCCTCTGTCAGGCTCCTGAGAGCTGGCAGACTGGTCTTGGGGAGCGGTGGAGGGCTGGTTGCCAATGGCTTGCTGGCTCATGTTTTGGGGCCACTGGGTCAGGGGCCCCGGGGGCCACTGCTGGCTCTGGGCTGGCAGGCTTGGAGCTGGCACAGGCACTGTGGCCAGGGTCTATCCCTTTAATGGCTCCGGGGTTGGGGGAGAGGAGAGTAAGTTTTCCTGGTTGT